CTAGTGCTGGGCCTGGGGCCCCTTAGCAAGAAGTACGGGGGCGGGGAAGGCGGGGGCTAAGGACTCACTGAGGTTGGCTGTTGCTTGTTGGAAAGGGTTTAGGAAGTTGGGAAGCGTGATCCAAGACTAGCCATTCATATAGAAAAGCACCTTGAGGTGGGGGTGGTCTGTAGGTTTGGTGGGACCGAGTCTGGGGATCTCCAGGTCAGGGCAAACAGTATTAGCCAGGTTGATGGGGTCTCAGATATGGCACCTGCCTGTCTGGCTTTGTAAGGGGAAGGTTCAGAAAAGGGACAATGGCCTTTGCCCACCTTTCTGTCTAGGAGAAGGATCTCCCCCAGCTCTCGCCTTGATGCCAGACTCTTCACTTTCTCCCTGTGTGCCATGGTGCCTTTCGAGATGCCCCAGTGCTGGAGCTCAGAAGGAGTGAGTCTGATTAAATCCGTGTATGGTTTCTTTAAGAGGAACTGCTTGGGACTCCAGAAGTTTCTTCCACCTACTCAGTCCCCACTGGTTTTTGCAGCGAGAAATTATGGGGGCCTATCTTCTTGGCACTGGAATTCTGGGCTGAGGGGCGTGGTGTGGGGCTGGGACTCCTTGCTCCCAAGATATTCCTTCTGAATTTTCATCTACCACACGTGGATGTGGGACCACCCTTTTCCACATCTCTGCCCCCCTGGCAGTGTGGATGGCTGTGGTTTCTTTAGTTCTGTAGTTGTCAGACTTCCATTCACCTTGATTTCTGATGGTTCTGAGCGATGGTTCTATATTTTAGTTGTAATTTTGATGTGGTTGTGAGAGGAGGGTGAGCCGTGTTTACCGATGCACCATATCGACCGGAAGTGTTTTTATTCATTTTAGAAAGAGAAAAAGGGAGTAGGAGAAGAGAGAGAGAAAATTCGATGTGAGAGAGAAACATTGATCTGTTATCTTCTTTACATGCTTCAACCACGGATCAAACCTGTGACCTTTGGTGCACAGGATGACACTCCAACCAACCGAGCCACCTGGCTGGGGCTGGAGTCTTTTTCTTTTATCATCCATGTCTTCGCTTTTGCAATGTGTGAGATCTAGTTAATGAACTGTTGTAATATTCTGTTTGCTAATTCTAATGTCTGGATCACTTCTAGGTCAACTTCAGTCAATCGATAATTCTGATTAGGATCATGTGTTTCTGCCTCTTTGCATTGCCTGATAATCTTTGAGTCGATGTCAGACATTGTGGAATTTACCTCGTTAGGCTGGTCCGTTTGTGTTCCTATAAATATTCCTGAGTTTTGTTTTGGGTTTCAGCTAAATTACCTGTAGGTGGTTTGATCCTTGTGGGTTTTGCTTTTATGACTTGTTAGGTGCGTCCCGAACATTGTCCCGCCTCGTGCTCATCGTTCCCCACTATTGAGGTAGGCCCCTCTGGACTGTTCTACTCAGTGCCCTGTGGAGGATGGGTTTTTCCTAGTCTGGCTGGTGGGGACAGGTGCCATTCCCAGTCTCGGGTGAGCGATGGGCATGTTTCTCTAGTGCTTTTGGATGATGCTTCCTCACACTGGGGTAATTCCCTCACACCCAGGCCCTGATCAGTATCCTCCTACATACAGGAGAGGCCCCTCTGCAGACGTGGGGGTCTCTCTGTACATCTCTCCTCTCGAGTTCTGTATCCTCTGATTCTGGCCACCTGGCTTCCCCCAAACTCGGCTCCATCTCCTCACCCAGGCGCCTCCCTGCACTGTGTCATGGAAACAGTCAGTTGAAGGGTTCACCTCGTTTATTTCCTGTCTCTCCCTGTCATTCATTGCATGATGTCCAGTATATTGCAGACTTTTGTTTCATACAAGAAGAAAGAAAGAAAGAAAGAAAGATGCTGTTTTGTATACTATGTTTTGTTTGATTTGTTGGTTGATTCAGATAGGAGGGAAATCTGGTCCCTGTTTGAGGGGAGGTAGAAGTCCTACTTAGTATACATTGATTAAACAAATTTTCTGAGTTAACGCCTACCTGACCCTTTGAGATTCCTGACAGCTGGTTCCAGAGCTGTGGTCACAGTGGCTAGCTAGTACACGGTGGGCACTCCATGCGTATTGAATGAGTAAATGCAAGAGGACTTGACCTCTGTCTTCTGATGCCTGTCCTTGTTCTCAGAGCACTACACTTGGCTGTGATTCATCAGCATGAGCCCTTCCTGGATTTCCTCCTAGGCTATGTGGCTGGCACTGAGTACCTGGACCTGCAGAATGACCTGGGCCAGGTGAGCCACTGGAGGACAGTGCAAAGCTGGGGGCCAGGGTTCTCAGTGCAGCTCCTAACCCCTGCACTCTGCTCCTGCAGACAGCCCTGCACCTGGCAGCCATCCTGGGGGAGGCATCCACAGTGGAGAAGTTGTATGCTGCAGGCTCCGGATTGCACGTGGCAGAGCGTGGGGGCCATACAGCTCTGCATCTGGCCTGCCGTGTGGGGGCACATGCCTGTGCTCGAGTGCTGCTCCAGCCCCGCCCCCCAAGGCCCAGGGAAGCCCCCAGCACCTACCTCACTCAGGGCCTGGACCACACCCCTGACACCAGCCACACCCCTGTTGCCTCATACCCCGAACCCGACTTGGAGAAGGAAAAGGATAAGAATGAGGACTGGAAGCTGCAGCTGGAGGCTGAAAACTACCACGGTGAGGGTCTGCAGTCACTGAGAAGGGCCAGGTGACAGCACCTGGCTCTGGGCTCAGCTCTTCGGACTCAACGTCCAGTCCCCTGGGAAATAATATTGAGGCTTCAGGGACTCAGGCATTGGGACCAAAGAGTCCTGCTCAGGCCCCAGATCATTGAGAACTGGCCACATGGGACCCAGGACCTCCACCCGAAGGCTCCAGATCACTTGTAACCCACAGGGCAGAGCTACTAGGGCCAAATCCAGGTGTTGGGCCCAGTCTCTGTAGTCAGAAGGCACAACTCACCCTGGACACCCCCCTACCCTCAGCCAGGGGTCCTAGTCCACCCAGGATTATGGAACTGTAGGCCCAGGCCCTCTGAGATTCTGGCAGCCCAGGTTCCCAGAGATTGACATTGGAGTTCAGGGACAGCCACCTGCAGCCAGTCCTCATGGGACAAAAGACCGTCTACCCAGGGCCCTGGTGCCTGGGTCTCAACTCTCCCGTCTGTAAGTCCAGCCACCTGAGACAAGGCCCTTTCGCAAGGGGCCTGAGGTCATCCACAACCCAGTCAGTGTTTAGGGCTTACCCTAGGCCTCCAATGTACAGGCCCTTCAACCACTCAGGACCCAGGGATTTGGGTTCCAGGTTCTTTGTAAAGTAAGACCAGAGACTCATGGCTCCTGACCCCAAGATCCAGGCCTCTCGTCCGTAGCCACAGGCTCTTCAGCTGTCAGGCCCCAGACACCCCACAGCCAGGGCCCTGGCACCACCAGCCACTTTCAGTCCACCTGAGACTGAGGCATTTGCAGTGCAGGTGGCTCTTTGACATACCCAGCAATTCAGGAGCCAGACCCCAAGCTCAGTCACCCTCAGGCCACGGAGCTCTCCCCCAGGAGTGTGGTGTTGGGTACCCAGGCCCCTCACCCTCATCATCTGACATTAGTCGCTCTGTCCTCAGGCCATACCCCACTCCATGTGGCCATTATCCACAAAGACGCAGAGATGGTCCGACTGCTCCGGGAGGCCGGAGCTGACCTCAACAAACCGGTGAGCCTCGCGGGGGCGAAGGTGTGGCAGGATGGGGCTGTCCCCAGGGTGGGGTAGGGCTTCCTATGACCTCTCTGCTACACCCCACAGGAGCCCACGTGCGGCCGGAGCCCCTTGCACTTGGCAGTGGAGGCCCAAGCAGCCGATGTGCTGGAGCTTCTTCTGAAGGCGGGTGCTGACCCCACTGCCCGCATGTACGGTGGCCGCACCCCACTGGGCAGCGCCATGCTCCGGCCCAACCCCGTCCTCGCCTGCCTCCTCCGTGCACACGGCGCCCCTGAACCTGAGGATGAGGACGACAAGCCTGGCCCCTGCAGCAGCAGTAGCGACAGCGACAGCAGGGATGAGGGCGTGAGTCAGGAGGAGAGACTGGGCAGCCCAGCTGCGGGCTCAGGGTAGCCGGTCAGATGCAATGCCCTCATTAGGAGAAATTAGGCAGCGTGCAGAGACAGCTCGGGCTGCTGCAATTAGAGAACTCAGGCAAGCAGTGCCAAGTGAGCTGGATGGTGGGGGGTGGGGGGCAGCAAGAACTGGGGCTATGGTGGTTGAGAAATTACGGCAATGGCAGAGGGAGAGAAAAGACCTCGGGTGCAGTGACCTATAAATAGGCAGCAGTGAGCAAGCAGCAGCGTGGGGAGTGCTCAGGCTGTGGGGAGATGACCTTGGGCAGCAGTGATTTGGACACTGGCAGCAGTGGGGAAAGACCCTGGGCAGCGGTGAGGATGTTTCTTTGAACCCAGGCTGCTACTTTGGGCAGAGGGTGGTGTGGAATGGGGGCACTGAGGAATCTGGGTAAAGGCAGAGGGGAGGGGCCGGGGAGGGAGACCTCAGTGGCTGCGGCTGCTAAAGGACTGGAGAAGCAGGCGGGCTAGAGCCCAGCGGTAGTCGTGGGAAAACACAGCCGGCCTTGAGATTGCTGGGTGGAGGACCAGGAGCTGGGAAGTTGAACTACAAGCAGGGAAACTCAGGTTTCAAGACAAGACCCAGTGTTTTGGGTGAGTGGGAGAAATTGGGCAGCGGGCAAGGTGGCAGCCACCTGAGCCCCTGTTTGGCCTGCTCTGCCCACAGGATGAATATGACGACATCGTGGTCCACAGCAGCCGGACCGCAAACCGAATACCTCCTACCCAAGCCTCCAAACCTCTCCCTGATGACCCTGTCTGACTCAGTTGTTAATAGAATTTCCAATGTAATAAAATCCCAGTTCTGACAACCAGAGACTAGATTGCCTGTTGCCTCCCCAGTTTTCCAGTTTACTCCTGGGCCCCATTCATCCCGAATTGAGTGCTGCACAGTTGGCCTGGGTGGTTTTCCTTGTGCTTTATTCACTCAGAAGGGTGGGAGTGGGTTTCGTGGGGGCGGAGCGTCTCCTGAGTGGGTCTGAGCCAGGCCCTCTGGCCAGTGCAGACTCGGCCCCTCAGGCCTGGTTCCAAGGCACACCCTCCTCCCACCCCTGCGGTTGGGAGTGGAGTGGGGTGCCTGGTGAGGTGGGGGCTTTGGGAGCCAACAGTCCTAAGCCACGGGGTGTATGGGGAAGAAGGAGGACGTGAGTCGGGAGTCAGCCCGCCCTCCGGAGCTCCTGCCTCAGCACCTCCGCAGCCTTCGTCAGCTCCTCTCTCGCGTGCTCCAGCCTCTCTGCGTCCTGCTCCTGGCGGGGTCAGAAATGGGGGGGTCAGCGCCCGCCAGAGGCAGGTCTCCTCCATGGTCGCCTGTGCACGGGGGCCATGTCGGCTTGCACAGTGGCAGCCGGCAGGGGTCATCCTGGGCTACGACAGTGACCACAGTGGTTGCCACAGCCCCAGAAGAGTAATGTTGGACAGCGTGACCAGTGGTGGGGCTATGGTGACCGCCACAGGCAACAGCAGCAGCAGACACGGGACTAGCAAAGGTGCCCACTGGGGTGCCAGGACCCATCTGGGAGGTGATGGCCATTTCGGTTACAGCCTGCTTTCCGCAGGGGTGCCCGTCTTATAGTTCAGAGAACCAGGCCCAGCAGCGGCCTGTCCATGTGGCCAATTTGGTCGTCGGGGACTAGCAATGGTGGCTAATTCAGACACTTCTGTGCACTAACAGTGGCTGTCTGGGTCGCTATAATGAGTGGGAACCATCTTGGTCAGGTAGAGGCCCTGCTTGGATGTTCCTGTCCAGTCCTGGTCACGGCGATCCTTTCACGGTGGGCCTTGCACTCACTGGCAGCTGCGGGGCAGGAACGCCTCGGATGGGTCTACCCCACTCCCACCGCCCCCTCCGCTCACCTCCCTCTCTGCAGCCTCTTCCTTCTGCTTGGGCTCAGTCCCCGGCCGGCGGTGGTGGTGGTGCGGCAGCTCCTCGGGCCTCTCTCTTCCCCTGCCCTCCGCCCCCTTCCACAGGCTGTGGCCCCCGCCCAGCACCTGCATGCCCTTCTCAGCCTCGAACTGGGCCGTCTCCTCGTCACTGGCCTGCTCTGCCACCCGCTTCTGGGGGCCACCTCCATCCTCTGGCTGCTGCTTCCACAGGCCCTCAGAGGTCTCCGAGGGCCCCCTCTCCCTCCCCCCCTCCTCCTCCTCTTCATGGTCCTCCTGGCGGAGCTGGCTGTGGAGCTGCTTGCGGATTCCCTGTTCTTGCACTTCAGACTCGTGGATCCTCTCTGCTGCCTCCTCCTCTTCCTCATCCCTCATCTCCTGGCTGGACCTCATCTCGCCAGCCTCGTGCTTCTTGAAATCTCCAGCCAGCGGGCCTTTTCCCTCAGCGGACACGCAGCTGTAGGGTTCTGTCTCACACATCTCTGGCGGAAAGAGGGCGGACGCTCTTCTCCAGGAAGTTGGGAAACACCTGCAGGAGTTCTGGGGCCCACCCCGAGCCCCACGGGGGGACTGCCCAGGACTGGGAGCGGAGGGTCAGGTGCTGAGGACACTGTCTGCCCCACCCCTGGGCCTCTGTCGGGGAGCCCCCGGGGCTGGCTGGGGCCAGGCCGGACGTGCTGGGAGAAGATAGGGCACCGCCATCTCTGCCAGCCCGAACCTGAGCCCAAGTAGGAGGAAGAGGCTTCGGAGAGGGAGGTGAGCGGAGGAGGCAAGGGCGGGTTGGGGGTTTGAGGACACCCTCCAGGCAGCCCGGAGCAGAACCCCAGGTGGGGTGGGAGCTCCCGGAGGAACTGCAGCCTGGGCCCTCCTTACCTTTGTGGAGGAGAGTTGTACAAGGGCCTCGCTGGGCCTGACCCAGGGTCAGCACTTCTGTGACCACCTCTGCCAGGCAGCGGGTCAGCTGGGGGGGTAGGGTCAGAGGGGAACCTGAGGTTAGGGCGGGTGGGCGTAAGGGGAGCAGCTGCAGAAGAGATGACCTGGAGGCGGCTGGGCAGGGATGGCCGGGGCCCCCCCTCCCCGGGGTGTGAGCCAGGGCAGGGGGCCCGCACTTTTTACCTCCTCCTTGGACGGCCTCGGTGCCAACGGAGCAGCGGAGGCTGCGGAGGAAGGAGGTGGGAACTGGGCTCAAGACCCCGGCTGTCTCCAAGCGCCAAGGGCGTCCTGGTACCTACAGTCTCCTCCCCGGTCCACCTGCCAGATGCACTGTCCCCACGGGGAAACCCGTCCACCGGAGTCCCTCATCCGACCCCGTGGGGTGCACTGTCCCAGCCCCCCAGCCCCCGAGTCCCTGATCCCCAGACTGCCTCCGAGGCGCTGCCTCCTCAGTTTCTGACACTCACACGCCCCCAGCAGCAGCACCAGCAGCGGGGACAGCGGCAGCACCTGCAGCACCGGGCGCCCACAGCGCGGCATGGCGAGGCTTCCTGACCAGGGCCTTGGTGCCGTGAAGACTAGGGTGGCAGCTCCTTATAACCCGCGCCCCTGGCCTCCGCGAGGGAGGAAGTGACGTCACCGCCGCCCCCTCCCCGCCCGCGGCTAGACAACAGCTGTGGGGCGCCCGACATGCCTGAGACCCTCAATTATTCATGGGAACCCACACCCTGCGCCCGCTCCGCTCCTGCTTTTGGCGCCTCAGCATCAGGATATGGGGGCGGCGGGAGGTAGGTAGGTTTCCCCACAGAAACAAGGCCCGACAAGCTTAAGTCTTAGCTGGGAGGCAGGGCTGGGTTCAAATCCAGCAGCAGCCACTTACTGACCGACCTCATGCAACTCCTACCCTTCCTTGGCCCCCGTTTCCTCATCTGGAAAGTGGGCCTCAAAGCCTGTTTCCTGAGGATGTGGCTGGGCTCCTCCTGACTCCCAGCTCCACAGTGGCCATCCCTGCAGTCCTGGGACAATTGCTTCACCTCTCAGACCTGTTCCTTTGTTTGTAAAATAGAGCTGGTGACAACTTCCTCTGTAGCTGAGGTCCGACAGTGAGGATTAAATAAATGAACGTGTGTATACGCTGACAGGCAATTCCGGGGGCTGTAGCACCTTCAGCTACACGTGACTGGCTGTGCTGTAATTTTTGTTGAGCACCTACTACATGCCGACCCTCTTGCAGACCCAGAGGCTGCTGCAGTGAAGGCACAGATATTTGAAGAGGGGTTGGCATACAACACTCACAGTGTGTAAGGAGAGAGGGAGGGACTGTGATGTGTCACGTGTGTGTGGGTGCATCACTGGGTGCTGGGGGTTTTACTTTGTGGCCAGGAAGCTCCGGGTGGTCCTCTCTGAGGTGACACCTGGGCGGAGACCTGAGTGATTAAAACGAAGCAACCACACAAGATCTAGGGGAGCGGGAGCCAGGGAGGGGATGAGTGAGTGCAAAGTCCAGAGTTGGGGATGGCCACACAGAGAGAGAGGGAGGGTGGAAGAGAAAGGTAGGGAGCAAATTGTGTGGGGCCTTGTGGGCCACCGTGACAACTCTGTCCTTTCCTGCGTGAGCTGGAACCACAGGAGGGCTCTGGGCAGGAGGGGCGTGGCTGATGTTGGTGTCCCTGGGTCCCTCGGGCTGTGTGGGACAAGGAGCAGGGAGACAGCAGAGGTGGCATGACTCTCCAAATGGGAGACAGTGGTGGACAGGACCATAAGGGGCCAGGGACGAGAGACAGAGGGCGGGACCTGGGAATGTTTTGGAGGTGGAGCCGTCTGGTCAGCACATGGCGTGGATGTGAACGTGACCTGCAGGGCTGTGGCCACAGGAGCTGGGAGAATAGCTCCATGGGCCACGGGCACACCCAGGGGAAGGGCAAGTTTTGGTTTTACCGTCTGTACTGCCTACTGGCCCCTGGACGGAATCTGGAAACCAAGGGGTGAGGGTGAAACAGGTGAGCATGAGATGCCACTGTCCTAAGTGTAAGGGGAGAGACCTCGGCATCCTCTCAGCCCCCTTGGTGGCCCCCACGCTACTGTGCAGGTGCCCTGGAAGTTGCTGGACACTTCCGGCAACGGCTCTTTGATGGTTGAGCACTTCTGAGCAACTGCCCAGTACCCCCGCAAGCTGGCCAAGACCATCTCCTTTGCTCACAGATCCATGAAGGCCAATGTTCTGACCATTTATTGTGGACCTTCTGCTAAGCACTGAGGTAGGGAGGGGAGGAGGAAGGAAGTGTGGAGGCCTCTCTCCTTTCCCCACCCCTAGAGCCTTCAGGTTCCCAGATGTCCTGCCTCTCAGTACAGGCTGGGACCCCCAGTGACAACAGGGTCACTAACTGATTGTAAGGAAGTAGGGAAGAGGGAGAGGTAGACCCTGAAGTCCACAGGCCCAGGCGTGGAGCTGATGTGAGGCACACAGATGTCAGGACGGTCCCAGGACAACAGATCCCAGGGCCCCAGGGTCCCCTGAGGTCCAAGAAGCAGCAATGACCCCGGTGGCTGATGAGTCCTCAGCTCAAGACAGGCTGTCCCGGGAGCCTGGGCTTCTGGCGCTGGTTGGGCCCGATGTACTGGAGAGGCACATGGGTGGGAGCCGTGATCCGCTCGGTGCCGAGGTAGGGCTGGAGAGCAGGTGGCACGAGGACCGAGCCGTCCTGGGGACAGAGCAGAGCTCAGGCCGCTGCCGCTGCAGGAGCCCTCTGCCCCTCCGGGCGCAGTCCTTCAGCCTCTCACCTTTTGCTGATTGCTCTCCAGGAGGGCGATGAGCAGGCGGGGGACAGCACAGGCGGTGGCATTCACCTGGGAGAGGGCCATGCTCAGACGGCGCCTGCCAGGCGTCCCAGGGAGGGGCTGAGGCCATGGTGTGGGTGTGGGTGTGGGCGCGGGGAGGTGCAGGTGCTCACCGTGTGGGCGAACTGCAGCTCCCCAGCCTCCGTCTGGAACATGATGTGGAGGCGGCGGCTCTGGAAGTCTGTGCAGTTGGAAGCACTGGTGACCTGGAAAAGGGGGTGGGGTTGGGCTGAGGGGATCAGGCGTGGGGGGCGCTGTCATCCGCCTTCCACCCCGCGTCCCCACGGGAGCGGGGGCTCACCTCGCCAAAGCGACCCCGGCCTGGCATCCAGGCCTCAATGTCGAACTTGCGGTAGGCAGGAAGGCCCAGTTCCTGGGTGGGCATGTCCAGAACCCTGCAGCCATGGAGCAAGAAAAGGCGAAGTTCAGGGTGAGGAAGAGGAGGGAAAAAAGAGAAACGATGGAAGAGAAGGCAGCCAAAAGGGTGGGCAATGGAAGTCACAAAGACAGTGGCAGAGGGGGCACCTCCTTGAGGCAGGGGCTGGTGACGGAGCAGCTGATACAGGAGGAGGGACAGGAGGAGCTGATGGGAGAGGCCGGGGAGGGGAAAAGGCCCTGGGCCACATCTCCGGGCCGTTCACCACGGCCAGTCACACCGCCTGTAATAACGGCACCCCCAGTTTTTGTAATGGGTCACCCAGAAAAATGTTTCCATTTGTCTCTTTTGAAAGCTACACGTGACTGGCGGTGAGAGGGGAAGCAGACATCCAACACCCAGGGGCGTGCCCCCTTCTCGCGGGGCCGTGGGGAGGCAGCACCCTGGGGATGGAGAGCAACAGGGAGGAAGGGGCCTGGGTCTCAACCCCGTGCTCTTTATGCTGTGGTTACAATCCCATAACCCTAACGAGGACTTCAGAGACTGGTGGGCAGAGAGCCTGTATATAATGGTAATACAGGGAAAAGGGGGCAGTGGGAGAAGTGGGAGGATTTTCAAAATGGAGAAGCACCAGCCTGGCATCTGCCTCCTTGAGCCCCTCACCCCCCACCACAGCCGCCCCCTCCGCACCGGAAGTGCAAGCCCAGCTCCGTCAGGATCTCCATCTGCAGGGACAGGAACTCCTCCAGCAGCTGCGAGCTCTGCTCCAGCCCTGGGCCTGTCACCCCAAACATCTCCACCTGGGGCAGAGCAGGGGCACGGGAGTCAGGAGACCCCAGGCTGTTGGGGGGACCCCCCGCAGCGCCCACTGCGCCAACCTTGGTGAAGTGGTGCACTCGATACAGCCCCCACGGCTCCTTCCCAGTGTCCGTCTCTGCCCGGTAGCAGGTACTGGAACAAACCATTCTGGGGGGGCAGGGGGGAGGTCAGGGAGGGGAGAGGGCATGTCACACACAGGTGGGGACAAGGTATACAGGAACTGGGCATCACCTGACCGGCAGGTCCCTGAAGGCTACAGAGTGGTCCATGAAGTAGCCTGGGAGGAGAGGGGGACAGAATGGGTCAGCCAGGGCCTCCTCCCATCCATAGACAACTTCTGAGAGGATCAGAAAAGGTGTCCCCTCTGGCAGATGCAACCTCCTGTCGGGGTGCAGCCGACAACCTGAGGATGCACCTGTCCGGCCTTGGGGTTGCTGAGGTGTCCCAGGCAGGCGGCTGCCCCCATCAGTATGCTCCGGGTTGTCCCCCCGCTGTCCCCCTGCTCTGAGGACACTGGAGGTGGACTCACAGCCCCTGGCCCCGGGCGGGCGCTCACCTGCAAGCCCCACCTCTGCTGTCCCGGCCAGGCTGAGGTCTTCAAAGCGGCAGGGGTCAATGTTGTAAATTTGGGACGGGTTGGCATTTGGGGTCATCCCGCAGCCTTCCTGAGGAGGAGGCCAAACCACAGGGGTGTGGGGCAGGTAACCATGGCATCCTCCATCCTTGCGGTCACAACCCCTACTTGTCCCCTAGAAGCATCTGGCATCACCCCGGCCTCCCAGTTCCGTCCTGATCCCTCAAACCAGCCCCAGGACTCTTTCCTCAGGGGACAGACTGGTCTCCCTGCCCGGAGCCCCCCCGAACAGGGCCTGAGGCACAGCCTGGCAGAGAGAACAGAGTCCTCACTCACAAACACAGCTCCTCGGAGAAGGTCCGGCACCGCCATGGGGGTGAAGCCCTGTGTGGGGGAGGGGGAGGGGTGAGGAGCACAGGCAGGACCCCCGCCGGATGCCGAGCTGGGGCCTGAAGAAGGGACACTGCAGACGGGCCAGTGGTGCCCCTGTCACTCCACCCACTCCAGAGGAAACTGAGCAAAGCCCAAGCAGTGGGCTTGGGGCCGGCCCTGGGGTCCCTGTCTCTGGGACCCTCTTCTGGTGCTTCATGGCTTCCACACTCAAATTATCCCGCAAGGGGCAGCCAGAAGTACAGTGTGCCTGTGTTCCTCGCCTGCTTAAATAAAGACCCGGGGGTCCCCGGGTAACATCCAAGGCCCTCACCACGGCCATGACCCATGCGTTCAGCGCCTGCTGACCCCTCCGGTTTCAGAGCACACGGTCTCCCCAACACTCCTTTATGTGACGGGCAGGCGGCGAGTGTAGTCGTTACAAGGACGGCTCTGCCTTGCACCCACTGCTGAGCCTTAAGGCCTTGGGCTACTTACTTCCCTGCCTAGGCCTCAATTTCTCCATCTCTACAGTGGGGGTAACACTAGCACCCACCTCATAAAGTTGCCATAAACATTAAGTGGTACATAAATGAATGATACAGAAAGTTCTGAAAACAGGGACTGGAACAGGTCGTACCCCTTCTCAGCACTTTTTGAGCCTTCTGAGCTCAGCTTCAATGCCTCCCCCTCCAGGCAGCCTGCCCGGCCTTGCCCATACCCGGTGGATGAGCTTGTTGAGTGTAAAGTTGACCAGGCCGTGTTGCAGGAGGGCTCCAGCCCCGCGCAGGTAATAGGAGCGGTGGCCAGACACGTGGGACAGGCGCCTGGGAGACAGATGGGCACAGCGGTGGGGCGTGTGGGGGAGGGCTGGGTGGGGAGAGGGGGCCCCATGCACCCTGGGGCAGAGGCCCAGCTGTCAAACGGGAGACCGGGCATCAAACATTCATGTAGGGTGTGGCCTTGGTGGTTCAACATCCCGTGCTGGGCAGGGGGAGGCAGAGCCGGCAGCCAGCTGTTGGGGTGGCGGGGGGGGGGGGGGGGCTCACTTCTGACGGATGATGTCGAGTTTCTCGGCAATTTCCAGGTGGCCCCGGGGTTGGAAGGAGAAAGCTGGATGTGGATAAAAAGCAATGGGGTGAGAAGGGGCAGGGGGACTGGGACAGAGAAAAAGGTTAGAGAGACAGTGGGAAGGAAAGGCGGTAAGACAGAGGGAGGGAAAGGGAGACAGAGGCAAACAGCCCTGGAAAAGGGACAGAGAGAGGAAGAAAGAGAAGAGAGAAAGACACAGAGTGAGGAACAAAGAGAAAGAGAGGGAACGAGACGGAGGCAGAGATGGAAGCTGGAAAGGAGGTAGAGAGGAGGGGAAGGGAGACAGGAGAGGAGAAGGGAACACTGGGTGGAAAGGAGAGAACTGGAGAGAGAGGGAGACACACAGAGCCGGGGAGGAAAAGCGCATGAGAGAAGGGGCCCATGACGGAGCCCGCCAGCCAGCCAGACGCCCACTTGGGTACACACAGAGACGGCAGGGGGAGCGGGCACAATGGGGTGAGGTGACCGCCCCACAGACACCCTGGCCAGAGCCCAGCCAGAGCCGGCGAGGCAGCGAGCTGGAGCCACCTCCCACTGTGCCCGGGGTTCTACAGGTGCCAGCACAGTCCCGGACCCTAGGAGCCCCGCCCCCGGCCCAGGGTTCCTAGGTCTGCGTGGCCCACCTGGTTTGTCTCCAATCACGTGCAGCACTCGGGCCCGGCTCTCATCCCCGATGGGCTGAAGGGAGACAGAGGGCATCACTGGGAAGGGGACACGAGGCAAGCCCCTGGCCGCCGGCTGCCCAGCGCTGGGCTTACCACGTCTGGGTGGGTCTGGTTGGGCAGCCTCAGTGCCTGCAAGTAGAACTGCTCCTCAAGCAGGGCCTTCTTGGGGTACAGGAGCACGAGCTGCTTCCGGAGCTCCCGACCATGTGCCCGTAGACTCTGATATTGGGGGTCCTGGGGGCGGAGCAAGCAGGGTCACCCCAGGACAGGGTGGCGGAGTCCCTCAACCAGCCCGACCAGGATCCTAGCCGGCAGATCCTTGTGGGAGACATTTGTTGCCTCTTCTTTGGGCCCAATATCCTTAATTTCCTTTAGGAAACCTCCCTTCTCCCCTCCCCTTCACATGGCACGTCCATGGGGATGTGACTCAGGCCTGGATTACTAGAACATTCCACTGCCTCGGCCAGTGATTGGCTCAAAGACAGGCACATGGCACAAGCCAAACTCATGAGAATCGGCCCTAGGACTATGGCTGGAGCTATCAGGGACGCAGTTCTCTCCGTGCCTGACTGCATCCTTCCACCAGAGGGAGAATGCTGGTCTGGGAATAAGAGGGAAGCAGAACCAAATATGAAGCCAGGACCTGGATCCAGCTGTACCTGAAGCTCACATTTTAGTTCGATAGTGCCTCATGAATCGATACTGCCTGGTTTTCTTTTTTCCTTAATCCTGTTTGAGTTGCCACATACAATGGAGGAATCATGACCGTCACTGTCACACAGAATGGGGCAGTCATGACTGATATGATACCTGCTGCCCAGCCCCCACCAGGGATAGGACGGCACCTCCCCCCGTACCTGCTGCACTTGCTTATTGTCCTGGTTCACCTGGTAGAATAGAGAGAGACAAGGTGATTAGGTTGATGAAGTTGGAAGTGGGGAGGGGGGAGGGTGAAAAGTCAAACAGGGCCAAGGGATCCAAATTCCTTGCTTTGCTAATGCCTGGCTGGGCCCCTCCTGGCCTGCGCCTCAGTTTTTGCCAGTAAAGCTGGGAGGAGGCAAAATTACCTAACAGTAATCATCGCTGCAGCCCTCTTTATTGAGTGCTGCCTCATGCCTGGCTCTGTACAGAGGGCCCTCCCACAATCCTGTTTCTTCATAGTGTACTCCGTGAGGTTGGCACCAACATGACCTCGCTTTGTAGACCAGAAAACTGAGGCTCGGAAAGGCAGCCCGTGAGTATGTATTTAGAGGCCTGCAACCAAGGGCCTTTGACACTCTGAGCCTCTATGAAGCCGAGCAGCAGAGGGAATCAGACAGACCTGGTCTGGGTGCTCCGTGCTGAGCAGCTGTGTGCCCTCTCTGCCCTCTCTGAGCCTTGGTATCCCCACTGCAAAACGGGACAATAGCAGGGCCCCCAGCAGCCCAGCGCGCAGTTTCCCTGAGACGATGTGCTGGCACTCACTGACCACTCACCAAGGTCCACTGTGTGTCTGTTTGTTTTTTAATCCTCACCTGAGGACGGGTTTCATCGTTTGTAGAAAGAGAGGGACGGAGGAAAGGAGAAAGAGAGGAACATCCACGTGAGAGAGGAACATTGATTGGTTGCCTCCTGTATATGACTGGACCAGGGTTGAACTTGCAACCTGGGTATGTGCCCTGACGGGAATCAATCCCGCAAACGTTTGGTGCATGAGACAACACCCCCACCAGCCAAGCCACCCGGCCAGGGCTCAGCTGTATTGTTTTCGTTATCTGCCCCTGTGCTTCATGCGGCCCAGGGCCCGGCACGGCCGCAGTAGGTCCCTGGGAGATGCATTCAGTGTTGCGAGAGGCCTTCCAGCAGGGTGGTGAAGAGCAGCCCCAATGCGGGCGGGGTGCAAATCCTGCCGCTCACACTTCCTGGCTCTGAGCCTCAGCCTGAACTGGGTTTGTACTGTAACTGTCTCAGAGTTGAGAGAATCAAGAGTAAGGAAAGAACCTAGGACAGTGCCCGGTACACAGTGTTTCATATGTAAACGTCTGCTATTATTTTTGTGACTATTTTTCAGCCCTCCATGGTGGATGCCGCTGGCTGTCTATTCCAAACTCGCCTGCCCTCCTTCCTCCTTTCCCACAGGCCCCGGGCTCAGTTTGCCCGCCCAGGCAGCCTGGGGTTCAGGGAACGTGGGCGCAGCTGAGGCTGCCTCTTGCTGCTGACAGGTGTGGAGGTGGGGTCTTGGCCTATGAGGATGAGGGCACTCTGCTGGAGGCTCCAGCGAAGGTCTCCCTGCTCTCGAAAGGCACTCAAGCCAGAGAAGTGCCATTTCCTGCCTCTGGCAGAGTCACTAGGAGACACTGTACTACGGCATCCATCTTGGAACTGTGAGAGGGAAACTGAGTTCAAATCACCACAGTGAAGTCACGGGTAGAGGGAGAGGGGAAGAAACTGGGGTGGGGATGCTGGGGGAGCTGCTGATTTATCAACCCCAGTGTCCCGGACAGCCTGTTGTGTGAGGTGATCAATGTCCACGTCCTCCTTCAAGTTCCTCCCACTGGGTTTCTCGTTACAGCAGCCAGAGGTGCCCCGGCTGTGCGGCTCAGTTGGTTGGGGCATCGTCCCATACACCCAAGGGCTTCAAGTTTGATTCCTGGTCAGGGCACGTACGGGAGGCAACTGATTGATGTTTCTCACATCAATGTTTCTCTCTCACCTCCCCCATTTCTTCTTTCTCTAAAATCAATAACATATCCTTGGATGAGGATTAAAAAAAAAAAAGAAGAAAAAGCTGCCAGAGGCATCCTGGCCCCCCTCCCCCGACCTGGGACCCCCATGCTCACCAGCAGGGCCCGCACTGCCTCAGCCACGGCTCCCTTCTCATCCTCCAGGCTCTGGATCTGCTCTTGCAGCTGCCTCAGCTCCTGCCATGTCGAGATCTGGGGGCAGACACAGCAGGGAAAGGTGTGAAGTGGCCCCCATCCTTTGCCTCTTCTGGCTGGAACCTCACCCCACTGGCTGCCCAGACCAGCGGTCGGGCGAGCTGGAGACCCTCACTGCGCAGGGTTGCCGTTCTTCCCTGCTTCTCTTCATTACTGGACTTCCCGTTGCTTCTTTTTCAGTCCTTTTGGATTGGACGGTGGACCCTAAGGATCGCTGAACATGACAACATCCTACGGGACACGAAGCAAGAAGACGACAGGATCTGGACACTAAGGGACGTGGAGCTGAGGCCCTGCCAGCACTCAACTCTTGATTCCCACGTTAGAGCAAAAGAGCCTCTATCCTAGGGGCTGCCACAGCCGCTAACCCTGCACTCTTCTACTCAGGTCAGGAGGGGCGAGAAAGGCCGGCACTGCAGCTATCCCTCCCTGGGTACACATATTGGAGTGGGGGCTCTCTGGGAGCCCAGGTCCCTGGGCAAGCCCCTTTGCCCTCTCTGGTTGCAGTTACCCTTTGACAAAATGGTACAGATGCTGTCTTACTGCTCCGGGCTGGGAGTCTGAAGGGACAAGCTAACCCCAGGGTGGGCTGCTACCCGCTTGGTGGCTCCTCCTGAATGATCCCTGGACACTTCATGCTCACCGTGGGCTGCTAGTACCTGTAAAGCCACGTGCCACATCCGGCTTCACACTTCATACCCCAAAGAAGTGTTTTTTAAGCTTTGGAATGTGACCCATTACTGGGTTATAACATTCATTTAGGATCTCTAAATCTGCACTTTAAAACACTGTGGTAGATGTACATCAAATTTACCGATTTTGTCATTTTTAAGCGTACAGTTCAGTGGCATAAAGTACATTCACACTGTTGTGCTATCTTGACCCCTACCTGTCTACAGAACTTGTTCATCTTCCCCACCTGAAACTGTGCAGCCTTAAACACTAACTGCCATTCTCCCCTCCCCTAGCCCCTGGCAACCACCATTCTTCTGTCTCTATGAAACTGACTACTCTAAGTGGAATCACATAGTATGTCTTTTTATAAGTGGACTTTTTCACTCAGCACAATGTCCTCAAGGTTCATCCATGATATAGCATACGGCAAGACTTCCTTTTTAAGGCTCAATATTCCGGTGTGTGTGTGTGTGTGTGTGTGTGCGCGCGCGCGCATCCCATTTTGCTTATCCATTCATCTGTCAATGGACACGCAGGTTATTTCCACACACTGGCTATTGTCAACAATGCTGCCACAAGAATCAGTGTACAAATATCTGTTCAAGTACCTGCTTTCAGTTCTTTGGGACATATACCCAGAAGAGGAATTGCTGGGTCACATGGTAACTCTGTATTTCATTTTTGGATGCACTGCCAGACCGTTTTCCCAAAGTGGACGTAACATTTTACATTCCCACCAACAAAGCAGAGGGTTCTAATTTCTTTATACCCTTGCCCAAACTTGTTATTTCCTGCTTTCTTGATAAGAGCCATCCTAAAGGGGGTCTAAGCTAGCAGTTTTAAAATTAAATATAATAAAACATAAGAATACATCACGCATAGTAAGAGCAAGTATTGTCGATAAAACTTTGGCTTCATCTTTGGCTGTGTGTCCACGATCAGGATGTGCGATGTTTCTTACTCTCAGCCACAAAGTTTGGAAGACCCGAGTAAAGGCGGTGACAATCTAAATTACCTGCCTGTATGCTTTGGGGGTAGTGCTGGTCCTTCTACTTGGTACACTCTTCTCCTCTGTTCCCCTGGCTAACCTCACTCACTCCACAAATGTCTGCCCAATGCCACCTCCTCTGAGAAGCCCTCCCAGTACTATGTCCTTTACTCTCATCACAGCACTTACCAAAGACTTATTTTATGTTTTTATGTTAAATATCTTTCTTTCATAGACTGTGAACTCAGATTGCCCTGCTCACCAGTAAGCATAGTGGAGTAGTCAAGACTGGCTTCCGGAGCCAAACAGCATTGTTCAAATTCCCACCTGTCACTTACAAGCATCATGATTTGGGGTAAGTTACTGTATTTTTTGGACCATAAGTTGCATCCGGGTTTTATAGGAAAATAGGAAAAAAATTTTGAAGCAAAAAAAAGTGGTAAAATATTTAATAACATAAATAACATAATATTCCGCTACTGTAAATGTAAACAGAACTCAACAGCAGCATTAACAGCCATTATTCCACCCAAATGGTGGCAGTGGGGGTGGGGAGGGGGGAGTGCGCCTTATAATCCGAAAAATATGGGTAATTATCTTTTCTGAGCCTTAGCTTCTCCTCTGATAAAATGGGGGAAAGAATGACACCTTCTTCCCAGCGTTCTTGCAAAACTTAAATGAGGTTCATATGTACAAAGCACTTGGAAGAGAATGGTAGGCAAATCCAAGCGAGGGCCGCATGGATTTGGGGTCCTCACCATTCCCCACCTAGAAGTATGGTGATCCAGGTTCCAGTTCCCCAAAAGATAGCATTACATAAATGCTGAGTATTTTATTATTATTCACCACCTATTCTCAACACCAGAAACATAGACAGGCGCTTCCCACATACCGGTTCATTCGTTAAATAACCCTATTTAACTGCCTGTTATGCGTGGGGCAGATGCAGGATCTTTCATTCTCTAAAGGCAAGAACCACTCCCACTCTCCCACCCCGTCAGATTCACTCCCCTCCTCCCCTCGCCTTTGCATTTGGTCCCAGGCTAAGCCTGGCATGAAATCGAAGCACAGGGGACATTGGCACAAAGTTCCTAGTGCAGAGTAGATACCCAGCCCGCTTTATGGGACAGGCGCATAATGGTTAGTTTAGAGAACAGGGACTTTGCACTCCGTGCACAACTGGCACACTCTGTGCAGGGCCACGTGGCACAATACTGGTTACACTCGGGAGGGAACTAAAATTCCTGCAACAAGACCGCTCCCAGCTGGAGAGTGTCTCGCACGCACATTTCCCCCCGTAAAGCGTACAGCTAGTAGGCAAAGCACCCCGGCCCCTGAAGGCTGACCCGCGCAAGCGCACTCACGATCGCCTGCAGGTCTTCCGGCCGCAGCTCCCCCTTGCGGTGCTCCAGGGTGAGCGCGGCTTCTTCAGGGCATGCGCAGAGCCGCTCCATGTCCAGCTGAGGGAGTGCACTATAGCCATCGCGTGCGTGTTCGTACAGGAGGTTCCGGTTTCGTCTCTCGGTTGTGAAACTCCTCCTTGGGCTCTGGTTGCAGAGGCAACCTCTCCGGGGCCGGATCCGTCGGCAGGTCACCAAAGACCACAAACGCCGCGCTGTGGACGCAGCCATCTTGGCAGGAAGATTAGCAGACACACACCCTTCGTCCCGTCCACTCCGCGTTTAGACCAATTGCAAAGCAGTCGTCCTGGTTAGGATGAGCCACTCAGACCCTGGAACAGTTGAGCCCCTCCCGTATCCAAGAAAAATTTACCGAGATTGACTCTGTCCTTGCCCAATAGCAGTCTGTGCTACGCCCTTCGTTGACGTGAGAGGCAGAACTAGCCAATCCCGGCCAGGCTAGCCTCCGGAAGCACAAAGAGCCGGGTTTAGCGTGTCTGCGGGCCTTACTAGGGTTTAGGTAAGGTCGAAGGGATTCTGGGCCATCTGTAAACCTCTCCTGTTCTCTCAGTTTCCCTTTACTTTAGTATCCAGAGCCTATCCACAGAAGGGCGTTACAGGACATTCCTTAAGTTTAACCAGAAGGTTCTGAGGGCGGGAAGGGGAGGATTTGGATCTTTGCCCAACTACAGCCACTTCTCCTTACTCCTTACTGAGTCTGTTATCCACTAATACAGGAACCCTGCAGGCGCGGAATGTCCTGGTCCCATCTTCTTCGTGGTCTCAACACATCCCTAAGTTATGGTAAGTGGGAGGCTTGGGCTGCAGAGATGAGGCTGGATGAGGGTTATCTCCTCTGGGACTTAAGTGCCTCTGCCGCAGACCTGAGGGAATCAGGGTTTTAAGTCAAGGATGGTTGCACAATGGGTTTTGGCGGAGCTCGGGGTGCAAAAAGCAAGATGTGAACAGTGGTTGCATTGAGGGCTACTTTGCATCGGTTGAGTACCAGGAGTTTGGTTCAGTTACTTATTTCTTTAGTAACTGCTGTACTTACTAAATTACCACCGTGGTGGAGACATCCAAGCAAGGTGTTTAACTCATTCATTCAGCAGATATTTTTCAAGAGCCGTGTATGTGCCAGGCACTGAGTGGGATGCTTTGTTTATGAACTCCTACAAACGTTAAAATACTTCTCATGGGCCATGCCCTTTGTGAGGTATTTCATTCATTTATTTACTATGCAAACCTTTATTAAGCACCTTCTGTTTGCCACTCACCAAGGATCACAAGGCTGAGCACGATAGGCCTGCACTCTGCCTGGAGAATCTGGGTTAGCTTAACATGCAGGTTTCATGGTAGCCTCTCACACATGGTGCTCAGGAGGGAGACTTGATTAAGGAGGACACTGAGACACTGAGAGGTGAAGAGTCTTGCTGAAAGGCACACCACTAGGAAGAGACTGCTAGAAATGTTTCATTCCCTTTGAGGATTCTGCTGTAAGAGACAAAGATGTGGAAATGGACAGGAGGGCCAGGACCTATCCTGTATATAGAGGGGACTTAGGGTATGAAAGGGCATCCGGCCCTGGCTGGTGTGGCTTAGTGGGTTGAGCACTGGTCTGCAAACCAAAAGGTTGCAGGTTTGATTCCTGGTCAGGGCACATACCTGGGTGTGGCTCAGGTTTCCCAGTTGGGTACATGCAAGAAGCAATCGGTCAATGTATCTCTCACACACCGATGTTTCTTTAACTCTCTTTCTCCCTCCCTTCCCCTCTTTCTAAAAGTAAATAAATAAAATCTTAAAAAGAAAAGAAAGGTCATCTATGCCAGTGACAGAGGAAAGAATGGACCTCAAATTGGACCTGGAACTCTTAAGGGGGCATGGAGATCCAGGGCTGTCTCAGTCACCGCTGTGTCTCCATTACTGGGGCCAAGACACAGTAGGTGCACAATGAGTGCTGTCGAGAATCCAGCTATCTTTGAGTCTTTTTGCATCCTCCATTCTATCCATGAGCAGATCCCATGGGTCTGCCTTGGAAATATATTCCCTCCCCCACCTGCCTTTCCTCTTCCTACAGTGCAGCCACACTGCTGTGATTTCTGTTGGTGTGTTTGGGGACACAGGCTGCAGCCGGGTGAACGAGGGGATGAGTGGGGAGATGAGGTGAAGGAAGTACCAGGGGCAGGCCGTGTGGGGACTTGTGGGAGGACTTTGATTCATACCCTGAGTGAGGTGGCCCCACAGGAGGCTCTGAGAAGAGGAGGGATGTTATCTGACCCAGGTGTGCACGGGGTCCCTCTGGCTGCATGTTGGAGCAGGTAGTGGGAGTGGGAAGACGCAGGAGGAGGACACAGAAGAAGAGGGTGGACAGGACCCTAGTGGGTGCAGTGGAAGAGGGGAAGGGGTCTGTTTGAAAGTTCAGCTGACGGTCTGCTCACGGGGTTGCTGTGGGGATGGCGTGAATTAGTGTAGGTGTGATACTACAGAACAGTAGACGGACATTGCGAGCCCGTTTGCTTTTACTGTTTTTAAACAGCATTATAATGAATACTTCCCTTGCAGAATGAAATGAGTTAATTCATGTAAAATGCTGAAAATAGAACCTTACACATGGTGGTTGCTTGATAAATGGTAGTTGTTATTGCTGTTATCTATGAGTACCCTGAGATATAAATAGGGATCTTTAAAGTGCTTGGAACAGTGCCTGGAACGCAGGAATTGAATCGCTAGTACTGTTGTTTGTTCCCTGGGATAATAACTCCCCTGCGCCCTCCCGGTTGTGTCTCTCCAGGTATAGCCCTGGTCCCCCAGCTCTGGGCCACTCGCCCCATGGCCACCCTGAACCAGATGCACCGCCGGGGCCCTCCGAAGTGGCCACCTACAAAACTGGGTCCCACGGAAGGCCGGCCGCAGCTGAAGGGTGTAGTTCTCCGCACATTCATTCGTAAACCCAAAAAGCCCAACTCGGCCAACCGCAAGTGCTGCCGCGTGCGCCTCAGCACAGGCCGCGAGGCGGTCTGCTTCATCCCCGGAGAGGGCCACACCCTACAGGAGCATCATGTCGTGCTTGTGCAGGGCGGCCGTACCCAAGACCTTCCTGGCGTCAAGCTCAAGGTTGTGCGTGGCAAGTATGACTGTGGCCATGTGCAGAAGAAGAAGTGACCACCAAGTGCGTGGTGTGCTGGGATTCATGCAGAACGAGAACCTTCGTGTCTGGGTTCCTACAATATCTTTGGGAAGCCAGGCCAGCTCTCGAAGCAGTCTGTCCTGGTTCAAATCCTGGCTTTCCCTCTTCCATCAGGACTATCAGTCATAGCCCATGGAGGTCCTGGGTGCGAATTAGAAAAGGGTGCCCCTCTGCCAGCACCCTTGGTGTCCATGTATAGAGTGTTGGTCAGGAGGCTGTGTCTGCTGGGCCAGTGCACTGTATTGCCCCCTCACAGGAAGGGCTTGCAATAAATACACAGACCCTGTGGTTGTGATGTTTACCACTTGCCGTGTTCACCCTCTCTGTGGTCTTGGCAGCTGACATGCCCTCTGGGCCTCCGCCCCGCCCTCTACCCACAGCATCCCCTTTGCTGGCTTTGGTGGATAGTAGACACTGTGAACACAGCACATGCTGACAGGGACTCGGTTTTAAGTTTTGGCATCTGGTGGCAGAACTGAGACCCAGTTCCCCTTCCTGCTGGCCCTGGGGCCTGGGCAAGGGGAGCCCCACCCCCATGCTTCCTCCTGAAAATGGAAGTAATTGTAATGAGGACAGTGAAGGGGGGCATTGAGAAAGGACTGAATGGGGGTTGCTGCTGCCTACATGGGAGCTTCTCCAGAATTCTGTGTCCTAGTTGTTCTGTGACTTTGGGTCTGTTTGTTATCCCTCTCTGGGCCTGTTTGATCCCTCAGAAGACAGTCCTGAAAGTAATGCTGCCCTGACCTGATCTTATGCTTGGCCATGTTAGAGTTTAAGATTAGATGTGCTTATAGCCTTTTTTTTTTTAAGGTTTTATTTATTTTTTTGAGGGGAAGGGAGTGAGAAAGAGAGGGAGAGAAACATCCATGTGAGAGAGAAACATTGATTGGTAGCCTCTCGTATGCACCCTGACTGGGAACTAAAACTGCAACCCGGGCATGTGCTCTGACTCGGATTTGAACTGCAGGCCTTTTGCTTTACTGAATGATGCTTAGCCAGCGGAGCCACACCAGTCAGGGTTGTTCTTATATTTTTGGGCTCTGGAGCCTGACTCAGGTCCAAGTCCTGCCCCTCCCTCATTTACTGGCCAGGTGGCCTCGGGCAGGTCCTTACACTCAGTCTGTTTCCTCCCAGACTAAATGGCACTGATAATGGTGCCTGCCTGAGCGCTGCTGGGAGAACCACTGAGAACTGGCATCGGAGCTGTTCCCTGCAGCCGTGTTGCCCGCCTCTGCTTCTAGCACCGTGCTTAGCATACCTGCAAAGTTGTCACAGTTAAGAAAACTCCACAAGGCCTTTTAGGATCAGAGCAGGGGGCAGATAAGTGCATTGATTGCAGACAACACCCCGTCACCTCCCATTTAGCACTAATTTCACTGAGCTACTTTGGTGGCTGTGCCCATCTTGGGAAAGAGCTGGAGACACAAGGGGCATCTGGACAGGAGAGCTTGCCTTGCTCCTGGAATTTGGATGTAAATGGACCTGACTGGGCAAAAGGAGGGAGTGGCCTTACAGGAAACAAGCTGCCCCTGAGGCAGAGGCAGGAGGTGTGGGTGGATGGCACAGCACAGACCTGGTTTCAGATTCTGTAAGAAAGTGCCAGTCTGGCAAAGGGGAGGTGCTGATGGGCTAGTGCTGGAGGAAGTTGCAGGGGCCTCAGAGCTGAATCCCAGAGACTCCCCCAAACAACAAAGGGTTCCCTCCAGGGCAGGCTTTAAGAACTGGCTTCTGCTCCCTGCCAGCAATCAGCTTAACTCAGAAACTTGCCAATGAGGGTCCTGTCCCAGGTTGGTAGTGGTTTCCCCCCATTGGCAATAGTTTTGGCCTTTGTCTTCTGACTTGTTCTACCAGTTGACATCCCCATGTGAGGAAACCATTTGCAGGCAAAGTAAAACTCTCAGTTAATCCTTGAATCCCTGACTCGGGAAGCTGTGAACAGCCTGGTGCACGGCACGTGGGTTACCATGCTAAAGCAGCAAGTGGGGTTTGCAGGAAGCCGGCTGGGAACAAGCCGCATGGGCCCCAGCGCTCCCTGGGCATCCTCTGGCTCCGGCTACAAAGCTGCTGGTGATTGGCAATGATGTCTGGCGGGCGGTAGTAGGTCCTGGAAGGCCTACTCAGGGACAGTGGGATCCTGACCCTCACGCTGGAGTGGGTCACAAGGGTGCCGCAGTGCCCCACCCAGGAGCACTGTGTGTCTCTTCCATACTCAAAAGACACGTATCCGATGCCCTTGCAAAGTCGGTGAAGACGTGGGAGACCTGCGTGGGGAAGGAAAATGAGATGGTGAGGACCTGTGGGCTCCTGTTCCTCCAACTGGACTGATATTCCCCCAAATCGAGTAGGTGCCAGGCCCCGCCGTAGGTGCTGGGGATACAGCAATGAAGAAAGCGCCTCAGAGATCCTGGCCTGGTGGAACTGACCGTCCAGTAGGGGACCCAGACACTGGGGAGGGCTGGGGGTGGGCAGAGGGGATTCTGCAGGAGGCTGAGGCTGTGAAGTGAGTAAGCAAAGGCCCTGCTGAGGTGACAGTTGAGCAGACACACCTGAGGGCAGGGAGAGAGCCAGGTGAGGATCTGGAGGAAGGTGTTCCGGATACGAGCACAGTGCAAAGGTCCCGAGGTCGGGGTGACTGGAGCACAGTGAGGACAGAAGTAGGAAATGAGGTCAGGTAGGTACTCAGTAGGCAACGTGGGGCCGCGGGGCCACGGGAGGACTTTGGTTTCTGGCTTTTTTATCTCGAAATTTTTTTTATTGACCTAAAATTCACTCAACATAAAATGAACCATTTTAAACTGTACAATTCGGTGTTGTTGTTTTTTTAGTAGATTCACAATGTTATGCCACCATCACCACTGTCTAATTCTGGAACGTTCCATCACCCCATTGGAAAAAACCCTCATATCCATTAGCCATTACCCCCAATTCCTCCCTCCTCCTGCGCCCTGGCAACCACTAATGTATCTGCTGTCTGTCTCTAAGGCTTTGCTTATTTTGGACATTTCATAGAGATGCAGTCCTACAATATGTGGCCTTTGGGCCTGGCCTCTTTGGTTTAATATACTGTTTGCGAGGCCCATCCATGTTGGGGTGTGGATCGGTACCTTGCCTTCTGTAGCAGGATGAGAGGACTTTGGCTCTTACTCTGGGATGTAGCCACGGGAGGGCCACAAGCAGGGCAGACTGGTGATCTGACTCACTTCGTAATGGAACCTTTCTGGATGGTGGGTCCGTTGGATGGCGAGGGAGCAGGGGTGGAAACAGACTACCCGAAGGGCTACTTTGATAACTGTGATGTGATGATTTTGACAGCACAGGCTTAGGTGCCATCCTGGGCTTGAATCCAGCCCTGCACACTTGAGTGTGACTTTGGGGCAGTCACTCGACCTCCTGTGCCTCAGTTTCCTCACCTCTAGAATGGGAATAGAGCCAGGTGCTCAGTAAACGTATGTCCAACAACTAGGCTGTTGTACTGATGAAAGGAAAGGGGAAACTCTACGAACAGGGCCTGGGATGAGATAAGGACTCAGGATTGCTGGCCCTTACTAGTAGAGATACCCAGCGGTGGGACAAACACGGGAGTCTGAGCACAGCGAGAGGTTAGGTGTGCCTGGGCCCACCAGTCCGCAGCCTCCCTCCATCCACTGAAGGACTGCTTGGGTGAGGCAGAGAACTTGACCACTTCATATCTGTACGCATCCAGAAGGCGGACCCGGAGCTGGTAGGTGCAGCCGCAGTTCTCTTAGGTGCCCCACCTGCCGGGTAGCGGTGAGCCTTGATTCCCCCACCACGCCCCCAGTCCATGGGTTGGGAGGAGGGAGGCTGGGGGCTGAGCCTCCCGGCACTTTGATCAGGTCAGAGCTGCACACGCCCACACCCCATATCAGCCTGGGATTCTGGGGGGAAGAGGCTGGTGCTCCAAGGATGGGGCCAGAGCCTGGGGGAGGAACCTGGGCCCTCCTGGGGTGGATTCTAGAGACTGACTGGATCAGGTGTGTGTGTGTGGGGCGGGGCATGAGTGTGGTGCTCTGGGAGAAACCATGGCCTGGGGGGCGGGGTGAGGAGCCTGAGCAGTCTGGTTGCTCTGGGGAGGAGTCAGAACCCCAGGGAAGAAACTGGATTTTCTGCCCTGGATGGTGTGGCTCAGTGGATTGAGCGAGGGCTGCGAACCAAATAATCACCAGTTGGATTCCCAGTCAGGGCACATGCCTGGGTTGCAGGCCAGGTCCCCAGTGGGGGCCATGTGAGAAACAACTACACATGGTTGTTTCCCTCTCTCTAAAAATAAAGAAATAAATCTAAAAAAATAAAACAACGGGATTTTCTGTGGAGGAGCAAGAGCTAAGTGCCCTCAGAGGAGGGGCTCCTCATAGGCCTGCAGGCTGTGGAGGCCCAACTCCGCCCCTTCTGAGCCTCAGTTTTCAGGGCACAATGCTGCCAACCCTTCTGAGGCCTTGGTGTCCACAAGCCCTTGTCAGGGCAGAGCTGCAGGCGATGGTGGTGAAGTGGGTGAGGGGAGATACCTTGTTTCAGACTGAGCCAAGCCGGTCAGTGGCCCCCATGCCAACAGCAAACCCCAGGACCGCTGGGAAGAGGATGGAGAGGAACGCAGAGTGGGGGCTCTGTGTAGGAGACTGTTCTGCGTGGCGTGGGCCCAGCTCCAGCTCGGAGATGCACAGGACCGACACCCGTGGATAGGTTCTTCATGGGTAATCGGGCCTGCAATATGCCTAGGCTGCTTTGAGTCTTGCTTTTTGCTAAAAAACTCCCTTACCGGATAAACATTTACTGCAAAATAACTTCCTAAAATCCATGCTAAACCTTCCTAGGACCAGTGTAACTGGTCCATCCACTTTTGCCTTTTCATTTGCGATTTTCCCTCTTCTGTGATGTGATTAGTGGCATGGGCTCCTTTGTTTTCTGTAAAAGGTAACCACCTAAAGCAACCTGTGCACAGTAAATGAGGACCATCATGTAATGTGTGGAGAAACCTAATAAAGGTTGGTCACGGCAAGGGCCACAGCTTTTGCTCCCCTTGAGAGAAAGCCATGTTGTCCCTTTTCCTCCACCGGACTCGGTAGTCTGTGTGAATGTCTCATCTCATCCATAATGACACGGACACTGTGGGCTGGTGTCCTCATCAGCTCTGGGCTCACTGCGGTGTCACTTCCCCTCTCAGCCTCACTATGAAGGGGGCACAGGACCAGTGGCCAGCTCATGGCATCGATGGGGGCATGAACCGAGTCCCTTTTGCAGAATTGCTGCCACCACCATTGGTTCAGGGGCAGGTTGCCATTCTTCACTCACCAGTCAGCCACACAGATCTCGACCTGGGCACTGTCCAGTAGCTCCTGCCACACCCCTTCCATCACCAGGTCCACAAGCTGCCTCTTGAAGCACCATCTGGGGAGGGGAGAAGGTGTGTGGGTGGTGGGTAGTATGTGGAGCAGACAGTCACAGCCCCAAAGTCATCTCCTCCCAGAAGCCTCCTCTGATAACCCTGTCAAAGTGGCCTGAGGGGTTTGCTCTGTAGACAAGATGGGTGATGGGCTGGGCATCCCCATTGGCTGCTCACATCCCTCCACTATTTTCCACCCTGTCCTGGACTCCCGGATGCAGGCCCGCCTCTGATATTTGTGGGGACCAGGACATGAGTACAAATGGAGGCCCACACTGAGCAGGGAATTTTGGGACCTCCTAAAGTGTGTGTGTGTGGGGGGCCCAAGATCTGAGGTCTGTATGGACTAGTCACCCTTACCCTTTCCTTCCTGTCGGGTCAGCCAATGAAGCTCCAGCAGAAGATGGAAGTGAGAAGAGAGAGTAAAATCAGGCTACTTAACCTCCTGGCTCCCTCCCAAGGGATCACTTGGGACTCCTGTGTTTGTCAACGGAAAGACACAGCTCCACAGGGCCCTCTCCTCGCAGCCTTCTCTGACCTACTTTTCAGTAACTGCTTCCTGCCCTTACCCCTGTCAGGCCTAGAGGTGGTAATGACCCTTCCCCCATTGTTACTAGCCCCCGGGGTCATGTGGCATCCCTTGTGGTCTGCCTACAGCTTTGTAAACAGCCCTTCTTCTCCCATCATTTGAATATACCATAATACAGAAATTGTGTCGCACTGGAGGAAGACTGCAAAGGTGCCCAGTGGAACAGAACACAGTGCTCAGGGACAGAGAGATAGATGAAAGGTTTTCTTAGGCTCCGCCGAGGAAGAAATGCTAACCGGCCACAAAGTTAGGCAGTACAGAGCTTTATTGGGGTCTGCGCACCTGGGCGAGGTTCTCTGGTCCGCAAAGTGGGGGCCAAAGAAGCCGCACGCAAGCAGGGAATGTGGCGAGGTTTTATTTTGGTTGGCTCTCTTTGTGGGAGCTGGGGAGCTGGGAATTTGATCATAGGAAAATAACTACAAAGAACACCATGGACAGAGTTAATACAGAAATTTTCCCAATTTCCAGGATGGACAAGGGACAGACATCTAGAATAGATGAGAAATTTTTGTTTATTAAGAAGAATAAGACATCAGCTCTAATAGAAAATATGAACAGGAAATTTATAAAAAAGGGAATCGGAGAAGCTAACAAGCATATGAAGAGATGCTTAGTTATTACTAAATCAAAAACATGCAAATTAAAATTAAAACAGCAATGAGATATTACTTCACCCCTAATATACTGGCAAGTACTAGAAGGCTGGATAATGCCATGTGAGAATGGTTGACCATGGGGGCAGGAAACAAGGAAATGGGGATGGGGCACAAGGATAAAGAGAATCAACCAACTAATCAGAAGCTCTGGAGCCAGATAACCTGGGTTCAAATCCCAGCTCCACCATTTACCAGATGTTGGTAACCCTTTGTGCCTTGTAAGTGGAGGTAACGATGGTATGTATCTATGTCGTGGATTAAAGGAGTTATATGTAAAGCATCAGAGAGTAAGTACTTTGTTGTGTTCTTGTTATTTTACTGTTTATGTGTTTAATGTCTCCTCCCACCCTACATCTAAAATGCAAATGAAAACAGCAGGTTCCTGATTTTTCCGATTTTTCCTTGTATCTTGACCTACAAAACACTGCCTGGTATATAGTAAGCCCTCAACAACCATTCGTTGAATGAATAAATAAGGGGAAGGTGAAGGTGGGTGAGGGTGAGGATGAGGACAGTGGTGTAGGGTCCGCCACCCTCCTTTAAGCCCCTGCCCCAGGGATCAAGGCCACTCACTCAAAAGAAGTCACAAAACAGGTCTGGGAGGAGCCCCCAGCACCACTGTTGGGTTCTTTTCCACGGACCAGCCATTCCCACCGTGTTCCACCTTTGAGCCTTTGACGCCCTCTCTGTGGTACAATGGGGTTGAAGACAAGAGATTCACCTGCCAGCTGGCCCAGCAGGGTCCACCACCACCCCACGTGCCCTCCCCGACCAAGCTCCTCCCTCCTGCTTCTTCTACTCTGGCCCCGCCTCCCAACAGCTGGCATTCCTGGCTCCACCCCACAATCGCGTCACTCAGCTCTCCTCAGGCCCACTCCGGCACCCTACTACACAGATATCTTCCTTCTGCCTCTTAACTACTCGGCTTGTCCCCTGGCCCCGCCCCAGGCCCCACTTGCTGCTAGCGTCACCTGCACTGGCCCCACCCACTTGCTTCCAAAGAGTTTCTATGCAAACTCCACCCCCGCCAGTACCAATCGGCTTCTTCTCAGCCCTCCCCCTGGCTCCACCCCCTTTGCCCAGCTCGCGGGACTCTACAGTCCCAGCACTAGTGGTTCCTGACACTGCCCGGTCCCCTGCTTCCTTCTGTTCTGCCCTGCCCATCCACTTTGTCTCCTTCTATGGCGCACAGCCTAGCCTTGCCCACCCAGTTTCCCAAGGGCCTCTACCTCGGTCACGCCCCTGACTCCCTGCCATGGCCCCACCCCCGTTTTCTTAGCCGGGCCACGCCCACTTATTCCGCCTCCTGGCTTTCCCCAACTCATTTATCGCTTTAGTTTACCCGCCCTTGCCCCACAGTTCTTTGGCTCTGGCCTTCATACTCACACACTGCTCACCGCAGGAGTTGAAGATGAGGTTGCGGCCTAGGGGCGCTCGCAGGCAGTAGCGCACCAGGGCGCAAAGTGGAAACTGTCAATAGCAATGGCCTTGCTATTGGGTGGGCAGTGCTGGACCACCGAATAGAGTCTATGGCTTTCAGCGTTGCAGTCACGAGCCAGCTGCAGCAGTCACACTGTGGGCCCGTTGCATGGCACACTAAGCGGCAGTAGGTCACCAGTGCGCCCGGCGGCACATAGCTCAGCACCTGCACGAGCAGTTCTGGGGGCAGTGAGTGCATCCAAGGCTGTGGGGCTTGTCCGCTGGCAGCCGCCACTGCAGCGAGGGTTGGGCGCCCATCTTCAGTGGCTGGAATCCTGCAGGTGGAGAGGGGATAGAGGGTGAGGGCAGTGTGGCTGCCCTCTAGTGCTCTCAGGACACACAGCTCCTGCGGCTTGTTTGTTACCCCACCAACTTTAATAGATGACAGGGGCACTGCCACGGCCATGAAAACCGGGCACCTAGGCTGTGGAGCGTGATTTTTCTCTCTTGGGCAAAAGACCGCTGTCCAGACCTACTCCACCAGGACTGCTAACCATGGCTTCCATGTCTGGTCAGTGCACTATTATATATTTGCACTTTATATATGTGACCATAAGCACACTGAGGACAGACGAGAAAACCACCAGGAGGAAACCATTTCCATCCCATCGCTCAACATGTCCTAAGTCCAGGGGCCTTCAGAATTTATGAATTACCCCAATCTCTTCACTGAACATTCTTGTCACCTTCTTGCTCTAACCAGAACCCAGCTCTCCCATGACCCTTCTGGGTACATGGGAGAAATGGGTACATCTCCTTGCTCCTTGGTGCTGCTTCCAGACAACTCTCCATCCTTCCCTAAAGTCCCAGCTATGAATCTTGTCATCAAAGTAGATGGTACCCACCTTGTGAACCATCTGCTGGCCCAGATTGTTATTGCTCACTCCTCCATGATTTTAGCTTCAAGCTCACTGTCACCTCCCCTACTCCCATCATTCTTGGTGATTTCCATATCCAGGTAGGCGATCCTTCCTTCTGCCACCCCAGCCTCTGTTCCCCGACCTGGCCTCCTCTCAGACCTCCCCCCCACACACCATGGTTGTTCTGAGACCTTGTCTCAATCACAGCCTCTTCAGAATTTCAGTCTTGGGCACCTCTCTCCCACCCATCACCACCTGTCTTTCCAGTGTTCTCCCTCCAGTGTCCCAAGTCCCCACAACCCTTCCAAACCACTGGGATCTGCCATCCTAGGTGCTTACCTCTTTTTCACTTTCCCTCACTCCTTAGGTCCTCATTTCTTCTTAATCATTTACATTCATTGATTAATTGTGGAAAATACATGATCTGTCCAGAAGGTATCCAGCCATGTACTGTGGAAAAGAGACATGTATTGAAGAAGATACAAGACACAAGAAACCCTGTACAGAGGACAATGATGCCTCAGTCCCCTTCAAAGTAGGCACCTTGGGACCTTACACGGTTCTCCAAATTGCCATCAGCTGCCCCGTCATATTTTCCTAAATCTCACTGGTGGTCTGAAATCTCTTCCCTTTCAAAGGTGATTTTACTTTTGGGAAAAGCTGTAAGTTGCAGGGCACCAGATCTGGGCTGTAGTGGAGCTGAGTCACCTGGGTGATTTGATGTTTCACCAAAGAACTCTGCACACGATGTGATGCATGAGTGGGCATATTGTCATGATGAAGATGCCAGTCACCAGTTGTCCATAGCTGTGGCCTTCTGAATCATCCGAATAGTTTCCACAGAGGAAAGTTCAAGCTTAACGCAAAATGATACAATTCATTGTTCTACCAGGGGTGTCCAACGTTTTGGCATCTCTGGGCCACAGCGGGAGAAGAGTTGTCCTGGGCCACATATTACATACACAAATACTAACAAAAACTTATGAACAAAAAAAAGGTTTTAAGTAAGTTTCTGATTTTGAGTTGGGCCACATTCATAGTCATCCTGGGCCACGCACAGCCCGCAGGCTGTGGGTTGGACATGCCTGCTACTCATTCAGTCATTTTGAATGCGATGGCCACACAGCACACATGCTCCCTCAGCGGTGTCTACTGCCCCCGCTGACTAGTACAGTGAAGTTCTCATCGTTCACGCATCTGCATTTCAGTCTACTTTTCTAGGCTGCCACGTTACATTGATGTTGCACAGACCTTTCTCGTTATATTAACAATGGCTGGACTTTTTCTGAACCGGCCTCATGTTCTTTGCATACATCCTGCCTCCTCTGGCTTCCTCCTATTCAATACATGTGACCCTGGTTAAATTCAGCCTTCCACCTACCCTGTTCCTGCACCCACACAGTTAAAGTGGCTGAAGAGCAATACACAACTCTACTGGCGGGTCTCACTTCAAAGTTTTGAACTTGACCCTCAAGCCCCTAAAGCTGACTGACAATCAGATTATGTTTCTCCTATCCACTCACTCCTCCTTTCTATAGATAACTATTTCTTTATTTAAAAAAATTGATATTGAGAGAAAGAGAAGCACATTAATTTGTTGTTCCCCCTATTTATGCATTCACGGGTTGTTGCTTCTTGTATGTGCCCTGATGGGATTAAACCCACAACCTTGGATATTGGGACAATGCTCCAACCAACTGAGCTGCCTGACTAGGGCTAGATAACTGTTTCATACCTTCTCCCCTACCTCCTATTTCGTCACACCTCCTTCCACCTCTTCACTCTCTTCTTGCTTCCTATCTTGCAGAAAAATATACAAGTGATGAGAAATGAACTTCTACAGGCTGCCAGTGCCCCGCCTACTACCTACGTGCCTGGGACCCACACACGTCCCTCTGTGTATATCTACCCATCCCTCCCGCCCACTCCAGGCCACGATCTCAGTTGTCTACTTTCTGCTGCACCTTCAGAACCACTTCTGCACTGGATCATTCCCGTCGGTCGCACTGTGTCATCTCTCTTATCAGGAAACCAACCCTCTCTTGACCCCGCCTCCCCTCCCAGCTATGGCCCCATTTCTTTGCTCCTCTTTATAATAAATCTTGTCAGAAAAGTTGTCTATACTTGTTGTCTCCATATTTTCTACTCCTGTTTTCTCTTAAACCTTCTCCAGTCAAACTTTGCTCTTCTCCACCACCCTGAAATGTCAAGGTCACCAACGATCCCCTTGGTGCTGAGCCAATAGTTCTGTTCAGCCCTCCCCTTGCTTGACCTGTCAGCAGTACCTGACACAGTGGGGTTACTCCCCCCTACGCTTGGCTCCGGGCCAGCACACCCTTCTGGACCCCTCCCATCTGCCTGGTGGTTCCTAGTGAGCCTCCTAGGCTGTTTGTCCTCTTATCTCTAACCTCCAAAAGTCAGGGTTCAGCCTTCGAAGCTCCTCTATTCTCCATCGCCACTCACTCCCCCGGGGATTTCATCTGTCCTCATCATCTCTCACCTGGACCATCTCTCTCCCTGCATTTTTCCTCCAATGACTGTTGCTCACAAGCATCCAGGTCAGGTGTGAATACCTGCGTCAGGTCCTGTCTCTCCCTGCCCAGAGCCCTCCTGTGGCTTCATCTCACTCAGGGTAAAGGCAAAGTCCTCCCTGCGGCCCCCAACCTGTCCCTCCTCATCTCCTTGCCCTCATCTTCCACTCACTGACCTGGCCGCACCAGCCTCCACACCGCAGGGCCTTGGCATGGGCCGTGTGCTCCACCCGGATCCAGAGTATTTTTCTGTTCACCGCTGTACTTCCTTCAGGTCTTTGCTCAAATATCGATCTCTCCCTGAAACCTTCCCTGGCTGCCTTATTTATAATTTCAGAGCCTCGTGACCAACCACAGCCTCCTCTCCCCTTTTCCTTATTTATACTTCTCTCAAACTTCTTTCACCTTCTAACACCCCATACCTAAGTAGGTAAAATTTACTTAATTATCTGCTTTCTTGTCTGACTCCCTCACCACATTGTAACTGCCATGAGGGCAGCACTGTTGTTTCCTTTGCATACAACATTCCACAGTGTCCACGCCAGTGCTCAATAAAGAAATATTAATTGCCCCGGCTGGAGTAGCTCAGTGGATTGAGCACGGGCCTGCGAACCAGAGTATTCCAGTTTGATTCCCAGTCAAGGCTCATGCCTGGGTTGCAGGCCAGGTCCCAAATAGGGGACTCAAGAAGCAACCACACATTGATGTTGCTCTCCCTCCTTTTCCCTTTCTCTAAAAATAAATAAATAAAATCTTTAAAAAAAAAAAACCCACTGCACAGATTAGAAAACCGAGGCACAGTGAGGTGAAACACCTTTATTCAATAAGAACTCAGTGGTTAAGACCTAATCAGGCCCCGGCTGGCGTAGCTCAGTGGACTGAGCGCGGGCCTGTGAACCAGACAAACGCGGTTCGATTCCCAGTCAGGGCACATGCCGCCTGGGTTGCAGGCCAGTTCCCAGCAGGGGATGCACAAAAGGCAACCATACATTGATGTTTCTCTCCCTCTCTCCTTCCCAAAAAAAAGACCTAATCAGAAAATCATTTCATTTCCTCATCAGAGGCAGAACAGCCAAGAAATAAAAGCCTTGTGCTTGGGTTCAAGTCCCAGCTATGCTTTCTGCTAGTTACATGACCGAGGGCACTTCACTTAATCTCCGTGTGCCTCAGTTTCCTCTTCTGAAAATGGGGATACTATCAGCACCTACTTCTTAGGGTTGTGATAATGAAATGCAGTAATACTTGTAAAATGTTTAAGTAAAACCATTGGTGTCTCATAAATAAGAATGATATTGATATAAAATTAAGCATTAAATTATATTAGTTGCTATTATTATCGCACATCATAAAAAATGATGAGCAACCATTTAGTGATGAGCCTTTCATCTGGTGACATTTATTGGGCCCTTATAAGCCACTGTACTGAACATTTAAGCTGGAGCACCTCACTGAGTCCCATTATCTTGTTTTAATGGCCAAAAGGATCCTTGCAGGTTGCCCTGGGTTAAGAGGCTGCAATGATCTAATGCTTGTACTGTTACTTACTGCCATGTCAGCTGTTAAAATTTTAAAATAAACTGATTAAGGTTTTGTTAAGAAATAAGCCTATCTCAGGCAAGTGGTCTGTGGACACGGCAAGAAGCCTGACACCTCTTCACCCCCACTACAGAGGGACTCAGCTGTGCAGACAGGCTGTAGAAACCAGGCTGTGCTCTGCCCCAGGGGGTGATTAGTTGCACTGAACTCTGGCCGGGGAGCTCAGCTGGTGAGAGCGTTGTCCTAATACACCAAGGTTGTGGGTTCCATCCCCTGTTGGGGCTCATACAGGAATCAACCGATGAATGCGTAAATGAATGGAACAACAAAACAATGTTTGTCTC